GTCAACGACTAAAGAACAACAACCTTAACCTACTAGTTATAAATCTTAGGTTTAAAGAAAGAAATGGTGCTAGGTACTTAGAAGACTGAGAAACACTAGAGAGACATTCTGAGCTTCCGATTGGTTATTCCTGTCATATATATAGAAGTAAGTGTATATAAGGGAGCATTTCCAAAAATGGAAGGAGGTGAGTGGGGTGCCACTATGTTAGCAATATCTTAGCAAATAGAAAAGATAAGATCTTATTATTTTATATTCTAGCTTGTCAATATCTGTAATTAGAGTTTCTAACTCGTATAAAACTATAGACTTAGTATTTTGACTTCACAAACATCTAATTTGAACCAGTGCTGCATTCAACATACCACATGACACCCAAAAATCGAAGTTTATCTGTTTTTTTAATATTTACCTTTAAATTAACAAATTGAGTAATGTATAGTTCTAAAATTTGAATTATAATCTACAGTTTGACACCAAACTTACTGACATAAATTTATGAAATAGTAGTTCAATAAAATTTTGAATGTGAGTCAACAAACAAGATGACATGGCCTTTCACCTGTGACCTGTCTGGAAAAGGTTAACCACTAGACCATGCCTAGCCTGAAAAATTATTTCATCTAACAATCTCATTAAAGATTATCACACAGGGGCACTGTATCCATACAATAAATTTAAGAAATTTTATAAAATATGTATGTTTTATGATGCTATTAATCTTTACAAAGTGACTACTTCAGATTAATAATATGGATTTCATAATACACTGTTCGCACGCAATCATGATTATATAATTCAAGGGCTTCTTAAGGAATTTTCGAAGTTTCAACTGCTGTTTTCCAAGGACAGGACTCTCAGTAATAAAATTTTAATGCACTTTCACTCATCTTGCTCAAATAGGGTTACCAGAAATTCCAACAAAACTAGGATTGTCCTAGTTTTATCCTTATTTTTGTCCCTATCAGGAAAAGTAAAAGCTTTAAATTGTCTCAATTTCTTTGTACCTCAGTGCGACTTTGATATGTTCAGTTTGTAATTATACATAGCTCCTTTAAATTTTACTTGTAGAATCATCTGAGAAAGACAAATTACACAGTACGGTGTTTTCTTAATAACCTAACCTGTCATTCAGTAGCCACTGGAATTGAGATTTGGAGACCCAACCAACAGCAAAAAAGAGAAAATGATGGTTAAGAGAACTCAGGTGATTTTGTAGCTTAATTATTATTATTATTAACTACCTAAGCTTTTAACAGATTTTGTTTGTCCTATGGTTTAAACCACAATGGAATAAACATCATAATATTTATCAAATGGTAAAAAGTGTGTTATTGTAACATAAAATGTAATGTAAACTTTTTCAGAGCTGTTATATTGTCAGTCCATATGAAAAAAAATAAAAAAATTCACTCTTGGAATATGGTAATCCTATGCACAGGTTTATTACTTTGTTACAAGCATTACAGCATGCCTTATACTGACATCCTTTTTGTTCTTTGATCCAATATTTAAATTAATCTTGGTCTGACTATTTCTTATTCAATGTGCACTTCCCCACAATGAAAGATATCATGACAATAGGCTTATATCAAATGATATGCATTTTCACCACAAATTGTACACCTACATTTATTTTCATAATTACATTTTTCGTTAGTCAATGTTTGAATTTACGCTTGACTTTGCTACATCACACTAATGTGGGAAATCCTCTTAGCATAATGGCTGGGAAAATATTAGAAAAAGGAAAATCATGCTTCCAGGAAACCATGTAAGAACTGAATGGAGTGTTGCTCTGGCAAAGAAGACAAAGATAACTAATGAAAGTAAACACTTAGCAATCGATTTAGCTAATGAAACTTCTGAATGGCCCAATATAAAATTAAAGGACATGTTACAAACAAATTTTATAGAATACTGTGTTAAAGGAATTTTTAAGTAATTTGGTTGAAATTCAAGTGCTTTTTTTTCAAGCAAATTTTGAATGTAAGGCCTTTTCAAGACAACAACAAAATTTAACGACTCATCAAGCTGTATGCACACTTTGTAAAAAAAGTACCAATGTTTCTATTGCATTAAAAAATAAAACATAAAAAACATGGTTTAAAGATATCAAAGTTTCATTTCTGATAAACAAGTTTATAATTAACTTATTACATGAATGGATGTAGAAAATGTGATATACTAGTATATGTACTTGACAAAATATCCTAAATTAAAAAAAGTAGTATATATATATATATATATATATAGTATTATTGTTGTTATTTTAACTTAAATAATTAATAAA